AAGCAGCCTGAAATCGCGCTCCACGGAGCAACCTTCTCAAGTGTGTGTGTCTGTGTGTCAATCCCAAATTTCAAGATTGAGTCAGGATCACGAAACATCAAATCAAGACACCCCCACTGTCCAAGTCCCACCTGATGCTGATGACTGAACAGTGCCCAAAGCACTTCGATTCCCAAAGGTCGGGGTGTCGATCTCTGAAGGCGGTCGCACTTCACCATTTTCCAATGCGTCCCTGGCATCACCAAACCCAATATGCAGGTGTGTTTTCTGCTTTTCATCGATTCTTTTAAAGCCCGTGGCGCTCCTTACTTAATGAAGTAAGGGCTAAGTTAGCTACTAGCAATAGGAAGCTCCTATATTTAGGACGCAGGATAGCTCACGCTCGCACTAATGATTTGGTTCCTAGATTCTTAGGGAAACTTAACTTGTCATTGTTTAAATATTAAACTCTACTCCACTCTGCTTTCAGCGTGAAACAAAGTGAACGAGTGCCTGTCTAAGGCCAGGTGATCCCCTCGTTTTGTACGGCGCCGTGGCATAGCCTGAAAGAATGTTGTTTCTCTTTTCATTTTCGGATCTGCTGTTTGCAGCATTCTTTCATTCGTAGAGTTGACCGGTGTTTCATTCGCAGAAGGAATGTTTTGTTTAATCAGTTTAACCGTTTTGTTCGTAGCAAACAGCTGAGATGATGGCGCACAACTCCTTGAAGACCGAAGACCGTAGCTTCTGCAAAGGCTCCTAAAAATGTCTTCTGCAAGTCTCACAGGTGCAGATTGCACTGGTGGCATCTGCTACCCCCCATGTGACGACGCACGTTGCCGCTCCTGGAAGTTGAGGGAATGTGCAGCACTTACCTCGGAGATAAGTGCCATTGGACCAGGACTGTGCAAGAATGTCCTCAGGACTGTGGTTACAGTGCTTACCTGTGTGCAATTCTGCTATTAGTAGCCCCTGGCATCGCTACTAGGAGCAAGAACGCTACGTATATACCCAGTTCATGTGCCTCATGACTCATCCACTCGCCGAGACACAGGAGCTTGGCGATTTCGGGGGCCCAACCTGTGTCAATGAGGTTAGACTTGGAGAAATGCTCCACTAGGTAGGCGCCCCGCTAAACAGGTTCCAATGATGAGGAGCAAACGAAACAGAACCAAAAAAAGACCAACCATACCCAAACCCAATCAAAAGCTGAATTGGAAACTGCATCTGTAAAATCCAGGCGATTCTTACCATGCCAGGTCCAAGCCCACAAAAACCGGGAGCAAATCACTTGGTTGGGCGCAATGAGCGGTGAGACTTCCAATTGCATGTGGAAATCACCGTATACCATGTTGGGTGTGAAAAGCAAGAAAAAGGATTCCAGAGTGGGGTGCACTTCACACATTGCGAAAGCAAATGAAACGGTGAACAGAATCGTGAACCATGGGATGTTCACGCACAAAGGCGATTGGGGCCTTGTTTTGACTTAAACTGACGTGTTTCCTGATGTTTTCATTCATGCTTCATTCAACTCATCGACTCATTAATTATCATCAACTAATATTGGTTCGCGTGCATTCCAACGCTTTCGCCTGCGGGAGGGGGCTTCTTGCACTGCTCGGAGGCGCTCGTTGATGTCCGCCGCACGCTCGTTCCTCAGAAAGCCAAAGCTTTCAGCCTTCGTCGTTCCACGTCGTTCCACAAGTCTGGCTTAAAACTTGTCTCTTCCAACGCCCGAGCCACAGCTGCTTGGATCGCAACTGCACCATTTGCACCTACAGCGGGCAGTAAGGTTGCAAGTCCGGTCCAATGATTTCTGGGGGTTCATGAGGTTCGTTTGCAGGTCAATGAGGACTGTGATCCAAGGGTACTGAAAGAAAAAACTTCAAGTTCAGTTTCTCCCTTTGCTTGAAACGCATGCAAGATGCCTGTTGTTCAAGGAACCAGCCACGCTTGTCCTTGTTCTCCTGCGAGCATCACACTTGACTATACTATATTAATATACTTTACCATAAAGCATTTGATCCGTCATTCAGCACCTGAACAGCCAACTGAAAGTCGGAGCTTGTGTCTTCCCGTCTTGCCGAGGAACCAATCTGGCGGCAAGGAGATCGTTCCGGCACTGATGACATCTAGGAATGCTGAAGAAGTACCCGGCTGCCCATACAACAAAATTGCCCAATACAATTGGGTGGCCAACCATTTCGACTACAAAATGGCATGCCTGGCCCTTATGTTCAAAACCAAACGCCATTTGGGGGGAAAGAATCAGAGAGAGAGAGAGGGAGAGATTCCCTACGAAATCCACTTTCCACAGGTCCAAAACACGACACAAAGCTGCAAGATCTATCCATACACACGCTCACAATCTCCTCTTTGCAAAACGGTTTCTGACAAAAAAATGATAATATAAAGCTTGTTCTATGTTACAGCTCTCTGCG